AATGCTATGATTAATTTTATTAAAATAGTTTTAGTTTAAATGGATTTTATTTTAGTTTGATTTGTTACTATCCATGTTATTATTTTGCTTGAAAATTCTATCAGGGAAGTTGCTTATATTGGCTTTTGCCCGCTCAGTAACCCCTACTAGCTTCTTTGTTCTTTGATTTATATTGAATTTACAAGTGAAATATATTGGATTTAATTTGATTTGAATGGACCAATTTGTTGTCTGCTTCTGTGTAACTATAAATGCATATTACCTGTTTGATATTCATGAATTTTTAAAATTAAAATTCATATGAGCATATTAAGGAGGTACTTCTAGTCTTTATTCATTCCTATACCACAACAAATCTACAATATTCTTCTGTATTAATTGCTCTTTAATCATTAGAGTGTTACAATATTGATATAAATTGTGTTTCTGCTTCTTTGTTGAAGCCAGTCTGTTTTGAAGGTTAACCGGGTATTTAATAACTGTATTTATCTAACCTTAAAATGGTTATTGCTGTATAGTAGAAGAAATAGATGACAATGATGAAATTAGTTTTGGGTAATTCTAGAGTTAATGATGATGGACAAGATATTAAATGAATGATTTCAATGTCAATTGTAATTTTAATGTTAATTAAATGTCAATGATTTGAACCATTGATCATAAATACTGTAATACAAGGAACCATGGAGGTATATTTTATACCTCAATGAAAGAACCAACCAGAGAGTTTAACTGTAATTATTGCTTTCACAGGTTGACTGAGGTGGAAGCAGCTAGAACAAGGCATTTTAAAGATGGCAGGACCAGCTGACAATTATAATTAAACCTGCCATGATTGAATTTGTGCATATTTATATCTTGGAGTTACTGGTAATGATAATAAAGACAGTATTGATAGTACAGTACAATAGTACTGTAATTGCTATACACAGACTACTATACGTTGTAATAATAGATGCGTACATGTACTTGTAACATGTGTTTGGTTTTGAAAATGAATTGATTATTTCAAGCCATGGTGTAAGGTGGTATCCGCGAGTTAGGATGTTTAGCAGGTGGCCATCGCTTATGTTTATTACATTGAGTGGTTCTTCAATAATTGACCAGACATGCATACCACTTGTCTTCATTCATGGTATCAGCCTAGCATTTGCTCACTGTAGTCTACACATTACTGTAGATAGGTGTTAACTTTATAAATTTATAAACTTTTGATTATGAATCAAAAGTTTCCATAGCTTAAAGGGAAGTTCTGGAATAAATGATTCAGTAACGTCTTACTCGCAGTAATTATCTGAACAATCTAAAGAAAAACGAATGTTGCAATGGAGAAATACAGAAAGGAATTGTTATATCTACTGTATATTAGTTGAATGTAAAATCCTTTTTCCGTAGTTGGAATTCATTGTTATAAGTTTTTTTTTGTGCCTGTCGTGTCAATACTTAAAGCCCCATTCCAGGCAAAATTTCAGTTTTTAAGAAAAATCTAATTTTTGTATAATGTTATAAAGATTTATAAATATAATACGGAACTGCTAGTTTAACTGAATTTAGACATTCCTAAGAATGAAAAAAATGTAAAATAAGACTGAATTTGACTTTCTTGTGTTCCACACAAAAAATAAATGCGGATGAATTTTTCATGTTTGATTTTGCGATAGGTCGTGAGAAGAAATTATCGTAGGCGCCGAAAACATTAGCCTATCCAACGCTGCTAGGCTAGGTCTAGCCTTACCTCGATTTAGGTTCTGTTATCACACATAAAAACGGCCGACATAGATATTTCCGTTGCTAGTATTGACACTTGTGAAATATAATATTTCATAGGAATTATTTCAAATTTGTTAAAAAACTGATTCTGACTGAAATTTTGACACTTAAACAAACATATCTCAGCCTAACCGAACGACCGCATTGTGCGAGATGCGAAGTACAAAAACTAATCTCATTATAGAGGGCGCACTTTATTGACTGTATAAAGTATATATAAAAGCGATCGAGTATTCCAGTGGATGCGATCTACAACCTCTGAATTTGCCTAGTAACGATGAATTCGTCGAGAAAATGGTAATATTTTATGAGAAATAGTCTGTATTTCTCATTTTTTTATTCTTTTGCGTAAAACTAAAATTCATGCCAATATTGTTCCATGATTTATAATAATTGGAGTAATGCAAATACATATTTTCTAAAAAAAGTCAGTTTTTAGTGAAATTTTGCCGGGAATGGGGCTTTAACAAAAATTTCTTGAATTAACTACCTACTGTACCATGGCTTTGGTTAAACTACCATAAAAGTGGCTCTAACTCTTACTTATTATAAAAAAAAGTGATTGTTTTTGTTTGTATCCAACCAACTTGTTTCTCTGTCATCATAATTGTCATCACCCCTACTGTTGCTGCCACTGCCATCAGCATCATTTTCATCGTCATAGCTGTCACGTTCATTGTTATTTATGATAAATCATTATTGTTTTCATTTTTAATTTTCAGTCATTAGTAACTTTTACATTTGAGCAGTGCATCTTCAACAATTTAACAATTTTATTGTAAGTTCTTTGTGTCTGCAATGTGCTGTATATTACTGTACTGTATTTTCGCCAGGACAGCATACAGTATACTCCGGATAGAAAGGTTATAAAATATAGTTTTAATAACATACAATAATGATAAAAGAAGAAGTCTTAATAAAAAGTACTGTAGCTGTTATCTTTCTTTATGTTTAAATGCATTAAAACATGGCATTCAAAATGATTGTAGAAAGTAATCACAAACATGATGTTTGATCCAATTTATTTTGTTATAAATTCAATTTGATTAAAACAACTTTGCTTTAGAAAAAGCAACCAATTTAAACAAATTCCACTCAACAAAAATGATTCGCGCTAAAGCAAGTAAATGGATTTGGACACATTTTCCAACTGAATGGACTAGTGGCGTCAGGCACATGTACGCGGTGCTGGGCTTGTATCGGCTATCCTGGAATTGTGTTTTAATTCATGTAGATTAGTAATTCTCTATGGGCATGTTGCCATTGAGTGGAGAATCCAGCTTAACTTCATTACAGGGAGTTTTATAGCAGCAATGACCTTAAATGTTATTATACAAACAAGCCAAAATCATCAGTATACTTGTAGTTAATGGTTCTTGCTCAACAATGAGGGTCACACATTGGTGGGAAGGGGAAAGGGGATGTGTTTTTGATTTTGTCAGTTTTTGTCATTCAATCTATAGAACCATATTTCCAATGATTGTTTCTGCTCCTGTAATCATTTGTATCTTGTTTTACATATAAAAAACTTCTGTAAACAATTTAAATAATTTTGCGATAATTGCCGCTCATATTTATACCTTAAAAGACTTTATAACTGACAGGAATAAATATTTTAAATAAAAGAACAAAAAAAACCTACTTTAAACTACATTGTTATGACATCATTTTTTATAATTTTGAATTTTTTATATTCTCTCTTTGTAGAATACTGTACAGTATGTATTTCAATTTGATATTTGTATTAAGTCTTCATTTCTTGCATTTTCTTGCAAAAATGGCCTTGTGAAAAACACCATTATGGTGATACAAGTTTTTTTCCATTTTAATATAAAATTATTAATATTATTATTTTATTATTGTTATTATTATTATTATTATTATTATTGTTATTATTATTATTATTATTATTGTTATTTTATTATTATTATTATTATTATTATTATTTATTATTACATTCATTTTCTGATCTAAGAATGCTATAAGACTGTTAAAGTTACTGACCTTGCTAATTTTCTTGAGAAGTAGGATTTATTAATACTGTATGCCTCATTGATCAGATCATTGCAGCTTCACTAAGTGCCAACATGAGGCGACTGGTCAATGTGGTCAGTGACTTTCACAGTATTATCCTACGAATAGCTTGACCAGCTTCATGACACCGTCACTGCTATCTAATATTAATCTTCATGCATCAATTGTATCTCTGTTCAATGTTTAATATTTTTTTTATATGAAATTTTACAGATTTTTATTTTTCAGTGTTAACATACCAAATGCTTCATAGGAAAACTGAAGCCTTGTTTCCTTAAAATCGCTACACTGTCACTACAGTGTTTTCAGTACCATCGTAATGCCTAGAATTCCCAGACGCAATCTGGAAGGCTCTCCAATTCGACCGAACAATCAGCATCAGTGAAAGCTGTTCACGATACTGTGTAGCGATTGTATGGAAACTATGCTTTATTGTTGAAGTTATTGGTTCAAATCTGTCACTTTAAACAAATATATTTATTCCAAAGTAATTATTCTAATTATTTCAAGGTGTATTTACGGTATTACTTTCTTTTGGTGTATATAGTAAAACGTCCATTTTATGTACCTCTTCGTACCAAGGGGTGTTCGTAAATTGAAAAATTTGTAAACTAGATCGGGTGTCAGTTTCCAATACCTACACCTACTATCACCTGCCATTGAGCACCGATAGACAAGGCCTAGCACGAACCGACAGTGCAGGAATGTGGTCTATCGTACATAGAGCCTTGCTGAATTTACCTTCGATAAAAATCATTATTTTAATTGCTGGCATTATTCCACTTAAAACTCTTATTCAAACATCTGTATGTTTTATGGACCTTTCTATCGTGTTCTTTCTAGTTGTTAGATCGCCGCATTGTATTGTTTACATGCATTACGCGATCATATCTAGCATTTACGATGTAAATAAGTTGGTGACGATGTCAGTAAGTAATTGGCAAAGACCATTCGTAAAATCGACTATTCGTAAAATGGACGTTTTACTGTACAGTATTACTACTGATTAATACTAGATTTCAAGTCAATTGCCTATAATATGTAGGCCATGGGTGTGAATTTTCCTTCATTTGCTGGCAGATCTCTATACTCTCCTCCTAAGCTCTTTGGCCAAAGCTCACTTACGACTTTTGTGTGTTTACCATATCTATATATTCACTCAACAATGTATATTTCTGTTTTTTTACCTCTTGCAGGTCTTGTGAAACTTGGGGTACACTGCTCAACAGGGAAAAAGGTAGCTGTTAAAATTGTCAACCGAGAAAAACTCAGTGAATCTGTTTTAATGAAGGTAATTTTGGTGTCACATAAACTAAACTGTACAACTTATTATTTTTTTATTTTTAATGATTAATCATATGATTTACATTGACCAGGTACATGGTATAGTTTGACCAAAATTTATTTAATGTGAATTCTAAAAAAGTAAGTGAGTCTGGATGTTTGCAGTGGGCTGATGCTCTTAAAAACTGCCTAGTTATTCTTACTGTTGGATGTGAATAAAGTAAATACAAAAACATTTATAATTGTATTATTTGATATTACCACTGAATAACCACTGAAGTAATGTTACATTATGGTATTCAGTCTCCTACTCTCCATGATTTATGTATATTTGTCATATGTTAAATAAATTGCATGTATTTTAATTTTATGTTGGATCATGGCAAAGATTAAAATTAATCCAATAATTGCATGTGATCTTTCTCATGCCATACTGAACCTCTTTTTTACTCAAGTCTAAAATAATTAATTTTTATAATATGTAGCAAGTCTTTTTGACCACCAAAGATTTTAGTTTTTTATTTATTTTGTGGTGTATTATGATTTAATGCTAAATATCTTTATTAAAATGTAGGAAAATCTTAAAAACATTAAAAAGCTCATTTTAAAGGATCAAATAAATTAATGTTTCACTGATGGGAAAAGGTTTTCGCTGATTTACAGACCTTTTACGACAGAAATCCTCAAATTGATTACCAGCTAATTTTAGGGTGTACATACAATTGTAGCATCCATTAAATGGTGAAGAAAATTTTATTCTCACTAATTAAAAAAAAAATTAAAAAAAAATTAAAGCTAGCTACTTGTTAATACCAGGGAGGAGTGTGTACACTTTTGAACTGGACATCAAAGATAACCCACTGTACTGCAATTTAGTTGAATACACAACTGATAAACTCTGATATGAATTGGTGTACTGTAATTATGGTAAGTGAATTGGTTCACACGTGCTTATGTGTTGTTTACGTATTACCGCTTGCCACGGCAGCGAGAAATTTCAACAACGCTGTAACGGATTACGCGAGTCCATGCATAAGATTAAAGTTAAATAAATTTAGCATATCTTGTGTCTTCACCATTGCTTGGGCTTGGAAAACATTTGTACTATTTGCAAGATAAAATATTTTTAACACTATGAAAAATGTTACTTCAAAATGAGTAAGTTAATTTAAAGATTAATTATGATTTCAGAGGACAATATATTTTCAATATCACATGAAAGGGAAAACCAAAAATATACTGAGAGTAAGCATACCTTAATTAAACTAAACTGAAACCAAATATTTGATAATAATTTCGTTGGTACATTTGCATTTGTTTTGTTTTTTCTTCTCTGTTGTTGTTAAGTGCCTCGAGGTTGTATCAACGTGAGGAACTATATAAATCTAGAATCATTATTATTATTGATATTATACCTCAGTCGGTTATTTTCTTTGTTTATAAACTAGAATATGTAATTCAAAGCCCCTTTCTTAAATTGATGTACAGTAAAACTTAATTACATGCTTTGGATAATTCATTTTAATTAAATTAATGAGCACGTATGAACATACAGTTTTTAGCATCTTGTTTTTCCCTACAGAAGATTTTCAGTTGAGGTGAGTTGTTGATTGACATCTAATAATGAATTTCCTTTCAATTTCATAATTCTTTTCATGACAACTAAAATGAATGAACTCTGAAATATTGTGGCTAGAGACATAGAGTGTGCGTAAAGCAATGGCAAATCACAATCCAGGCTTTATAAACATGTTACCTGGATGTAGCAGCAAGGCCTGAGGACAATACTCTTGATGATTTCATTAGATGATCATATTGACAATCAAAACCTGGCAAAAACCTGTCTAATTATCTTTTCCAAGAAACAAGTATGTCTGAATCCAGTGAAAGTAAAAGTGATCTTTTTTTTAAAATATTCATCTATTTATAAAATAGACAAATTAAAGATAAAGAGATAAATTTATTTAGTAAGTAGATATAAACACAGTTTCACATTCACATACAGTATGGATTCCAGATGCTTTTTGTAGACTGTCCCCTTTCAATGAGAAGCCCAGGCCTATGTGGATTTCCCGTCACATTAGAACATTAGCTACTGTATTGAATATGATAATACAGTCAAAACATATAGTTTATTCAATATTCATATTCTACAAAATTTAAAGATTGTTAATGACACTGAGATCCGGACTGTTTGGAGAGGATGACATCTACAGTAGAACAGCTACTATAGTTGTAGTCATCAGCAGTTAAAACTATTTTTATTTCAGCTTGGATCAAGGCCGTAAAAGCATGAGCGATCTAGCCATCAGGAATCGTGGCACCATGCTTCACAATTATTATAATTTCAAAAATCTACATTTCCACCATCTTTGTATCTCTCTGTGCAGTCAAGTTCCTATTATAAGGATACAATTTGAAATTCAGCAGTTTAGGAAATTTAAATCAAATGTGGAATACAGCATTTCAAAGTGTTAAATAAATCAGAGCCAAAGGAATATGAATAATGCTAATTTGAAATTAATATTGAATAATAAGTATATGTCATTTTTCACAAGTAATACAAATGAATGTATATCATTAGAGAATACAACCAAGAATGGGCAAAGACAGGCGTATGAAACTATAGTAGAAATTCTTATTTTTTTATCCTGGCAAATCAATATTATTGATGTAGCATTTTGTAAATTTGTAATGTGAATATTATTAGTGAGTCTCATGAATACACCCACTTACTGTACTGCAAGCTGTAATAGAATCTGCACAATTAATGATTTAAATTCAAAAGAATAATTTATATTATAAAGTAACTATAATATTGCACCAACCATGCTGTATAGTTACAATAGGAGCATTCTAAAGTGGAGCTGTATCTTGTAGTTAAATGCTTGTTTTCCAATCCCAGGGTCTTCCATTCAAACCTCATGACTAAAATATCCACTCTGTACCTAGGGGTAAGCCCCACCCGCTTTGGCATTTTTTATATTTAAGGGCGTATATTTGATGTTTTTGTTATAGGTTTTGCTCTATAAAACTTGGTCCCACTTGGCTAATGTGGGGAAAACACATTGCTGGTGAATATCCGTTTAGGTCTGAGCCACTGACTAGCCAGTAATAACTCTTTACTTATACACCCCTACTCAGTTGAGATTACAGCAATACATTTTTGCCAAGGACATGCATTGTGATAAGAATCAGAAATTCAAAGTCGTGACTAAATTTCTAACTACCTTTGCCAGATCTAAGACTGATTACGTTGCATCTGGATTTACAGGTAATCCCTGGCCAGCAATAAAAGATTTATTCCATCAGGTATTGAAACTCGTAGGCCTACTCGGTATGCTTTGAGCCCTATAAGACACACTGATTATGTTACTATAGTACCAAAAATTAATCTTATACGCTGGTGATAAATGTTTCATCTCATGCGCATTAAATCTGAAGCACAATGGCCATGATTGGCTTTGTTCAGTTGACACATAGCATAGTTTTAGCGCCACAAACTGTGCCGATAATAATAAAAAAATACTTTTTAGTTCATCATCTTATCTTTGGTAGTCAAGAATGTCTATTTATAAAAGTATTAGAAATATATAATATTATAATCATAATTTAAAATATGATGACATCTTAGCAATATCTCAGCTATTGTGTAATTGAATCCACTATTCATTTATTTTTTGTATTCCTGTACTGTAGACATATATTATTGATGAACTATATTAAAATAATATTAAAATTTAATCATGGTCACTTATAATTAACATAAAAAATAAGGAAGATTTGTCAATCTAAGATCAATTGATTGATTTTTATAATTAATATTAATTTTTTTTATATAATTTCAGGTAGTATTTATTATTGTTATTCCTAATAATTAGTTTTGACTGTCACTCACTCTACATTAGTTTCATTGAATCAAAGCTGCATATAATTAACATAAGTTATAGTAAGACCTACATTATTAGTAAGTGTAAAAATATCTCTTGTTAATGATGTTCACTTAGGTTGGTTATTGATTTCTCTAGTGATTCATGTTTTTGTGGGGATTGTTTCCAGAAGCATCTACCAGTCGTCCATCTAAATGCATCTTCTCAATCAGTGAGGAGTAAGATAAGAGAAATATGGTCATTCGCCATTTTGGGATAATGTTATACAGTACGGTCAATGGTTCAGCTCTTATCATATCCTCAGGGTGTTTGAGATACGGTACTGTAATTTTATTTAGGAGTAAAAAAACAGTGGATCTATGTCTCGGTGCATCATAATGCAGAACTTCATTTCTTCAGTGAGTTAATTACCATAGTTATTTGAATAAACACCCCAGGGCGTTTATTGTTGAGAAGGGTTTTGAGGGGAGTTTATTCGAGGGAGGCATTTTTTTTTTTGGTGCAAAATGGATACTTATTTAATTTATTTATTTATACCAAACCAACACTGAATATTCGCCACAAGCAGGCTGGCATACTCAAATATACATCCCTAATTTGACTGTTAATGTTAACTGTTGCATTTTTTTTTTTTTGGTGCAAAATGGATACTTATTTTATTTATTTATTTATACCAAACCAACACTGAATATATAATGCATAAGTCAGACTTTTTCCTATCCCTTGTTTTTGCAAATTTATTTGATTAAAGATCGTCAGAGGAGTGTGGGAAAAAATAAAAATAAAATTTTGTTTTCTTAAGCAAATGGTTTTTTTTTTTTTGCCAAATAACATCCATGTGGAGGACATTTTTTGTTGAATATTAACAGTGTAGTATGAGGTGGTTAAGTGCTTAAAATTTATATAATTAGAAAAAAATATATATTTTATTGGAGATTTCAAGGCAGTGACGGGCGTCATAAAAATTAAAAAAAATTTTTAATTTTTTCTGAAATTCCTATTTTTTTTAGGTGGTGGGCGCACTAATTGGCCAAAAAATGAAATTATATTTTTATTCAAAATCATTGTTCGCCAAACGAAGTATAAAAAAGTCATTGTCTACTATTTTTTTAAAATATAAGTGTCCCTCTTAAAATTTGCAATTGTTAATGTTAAGTTATTAAACCATTCACATGGCTATCCCTTTTACACATGTTACTAAATTGAGAAGGTACTATTAGAACTTGCTTTTAATACTATACTATGTAATTGCTTTTCCAAAATACACTCATTTTCATGAAATTAGTATGTGTTTGTCCATCTTGCAAGTTGCAGACACTTTATTAGAAGAAATATTACCAGTTGTTGCATTTAAATTGCTGAGATTCTACATCCTTTGTGTTCTTATCCTACTTATACCGTATAGACATTAACTATGTTGACCTACTTTGCACAAAATGAATTTAAAGCTAATATCATTTTCTATTCAAATAAACATTAGAAGCTGAAATGCCGCAGGAGAATAGTCACACATTTTATGCCACATTTTATGTTGATGTACAGTGAATTGAAATGGTTTGTAGAGCTTTTAATTTCATTATTTTCACGTCATTGTACTTTGAATTTGTCACTTTTGAACTACATTATCTGGTGCAAAATAGCACACTGTGTACTCTATGAACAGGTGTATACAGAACTTATTTATACTGTACACATTAAACTTGTAAAGCCTACTGCATACTATGTAAGAAAGTATAACTTGATTCTCGTTTCAAACATTTTAAAGTATTCTTAACATCTACAACAATAGAGTAGGTACAAGGGAATTGAATAAGAAAAGGAGATGTAATAAAATATGCGGCTTTCTCCTTTATCTTTTGAACTAATAAGAGTACGCTTTTATAGAAAATGATGGTATAAAGTGATACTTCAATGAATGTAACCTGATTCTCTTGAAGGGGCTAGTTACTTAGTGGTCAGGTCCCAGTTGCAAGATAGATAGACGATCTTTGTCCACTTAATTGGAGCTTGAAAGTAAGAAACAAGACATGGTCTACTGTATTTCCAAGCAATTGGCAGAAACTGAAGATTTTTTTCATTTGTTTCCTTGGTGTCTTCATATCAGCCTATTTTGCACATTCACTACCTTGTTCCTACCTACAGGTACTGGCAGCGCCCAGAGGGGGTAGAAATTTAAATCTCTCTTGTCCCACTTTTTCTAGGAATTGGGGACAATGCCCTCCTACATCAGGATTGGTTTCCATAAAAAATTGTCAGATTTCCTGTTTGGCAGCAATGTGTTTTACTGATGCCTTGTACAATTACTACAGTATAAAAAAAGATAAGTGTTTATTTACTGGATGTTTTAGCCTATTGTATAGTAGGTCCTAGATAGTAAATTTGAAGACAAAGAGGACTTTACACAATACAGACTAACAAATTTTATTGATACACAAGTTTTTGACCACACAGTGATCTTCATCAGGTGAATGGTGAATGTGAATAGTAGGTAAGAACGATAGGACCACTCTACCTACTGTAACAATAGCGAACACATCTGTTTAATGAATGGCTAAAAGGACTGAGTAGGTACAATAGAACATCTACAGTAAAATGCAGTTTCTACTCTACAAAGGAAGCAGAATGCCAGCAAAAATTCCTGATATAAAATTAATGGTAATCATGACAGTCATCTCTATCATCTCATTGTTGATTATCATAAATTAATTAATTTTGATGAGATTAATTTTTTATGACTGCTTGTTAAGATATCAACACATGTGTAAAACCAACACACATAGGTGCAACAAACATATCAACAATTTTTTCTTATGTCGCTTTCATCAATATCATTGATGTTTATTTGAGAATCAAGATGCAGTCTTGAAATTCAAGCCTGATAATTGAACAACTAAAGGGATGTCTGCTAAAATTTCATTGGCCAGATTTTGATTATAAAATACTGTTAGTGCTACGAGCTGTTTTCTGGTTCTTTGCACATGTTACATAGCTACATATGAATATATTTCTAAGAAAACAATATCTGGCATTACAAGATCTATTTCAATCACTGGATAATCATTAGCATGCTGTCTTTCTTCCAACAAACCTACCTGTATAGGTTGTTTCTTAATGTGACAGGGTCACAAGTTGGAAGAAATCAATTTGGGTAGAACTAGTTGAATGAGCTTTCTTAACTCATTTAATTTTATTTTGCTGTACATGTGACACCCATCGGCTCTGACTTCTGAGAGACAATCGATAATAAAGTAGTAAAAACATGCAAATATTATGAATTTGCGGGAGATGGTTTATTTTCCCGAAGAGTCTTGCTTGTGGGAGTGCGGAGGCCGCCTAGTTTTCCGGGAGACGCTCCCAACTTGCGGGAGACTCAGGATATGGATCTGATTCACTATTTTTATATTAATTTTGTTTTGCATACACGTCAAGGTTCGCGTATTCGGCGTGATACTTCGTGGTCTGTCTCACGCTTGAGGACCAAAATCTCATGCATAAATGTAATATTACCGATAATTTAAAAAAATCCCTTTTACTAGTAATTCGATGAGATTAGATAAAACTAGCTGCATCAACACTGAATATGTCGCACTGTCAGTGTTGTAGGATGAGATCAAAGAACACACTACCAACAGCCACGCATGTTCGTGGACGGCAGAAACATGCATTCTCAGCAAAAATAATCCGGATTCTTAAGCTATTTTCAGTTGTAAAAATACTAACCTGAATGTATTTCTGAGCATCTAGGGAAGGATTTTTTTGGGGGGTGGTGGGGGGTGGGGGAGCGGCTTGCTTATGACCCCTTTTAAAACAAAATCTCCTGTCTGAAAATTGGTCTAACTTGGCATCTATGGTTTTGCAGTTTACTTTGACTGTGAAATGAGAATATCATGTATTATAAAGTATTAATTATAAATATCACAGACACCATCACACTGGCACTTTGCTTTTAAAAAACATATGAGGATGATGTACATGTTCCCATCATAGAATTGAAAGAATTTCTTGAAAATGTTGGGAAGCTTCTTCCATTATTAGATATTATTAAATACTCTGTTCATTAAGCAGGTCTCTGATTGATTTCCTATCGAGCACACTTTTAGCAGGGATGGAAGAATATAAAAACACTGATTCACCATTAATTGACTCTAAATTAACCACTCAGTGACAAGCTCAAAATATTTAAATTTACATTCTGACTGACACAAGTTCATTGAAGCATTATATTGATATTGTGTAAATATTTATTTATTTGAGCCAGTATTTAATTCAAGGGTAAATCAAAACATTGTTTTGGAATGAATGCATTGGTTTATTGGATCAAATTACTACCACTCGTAAATTAGCAACTAAATATTTCAAGGCTTATAGGTGGCAAATATTTGTGCGTTATTGAGCTGGTTGCATTAATGAAGGAAGGCCGGAGAATGTAGATTAATTTTCTAATGACGGGCTTGATGATGGTCTCTAATTGGTTGTCTCTCTCCGCTACAATTTTGAGGAGAATGACCTAATTTAAACAACTCTATTGATCATGGTTGTGTTTTTCTCTTCTGTTGATATGTTTGTTTGGATTTTGCCGCTGAATTGCGAACACACTAAGTGGTTTTTATGATGTGGGTGTGAAGATTGAAATTAAGAATGAAAGGTTCGTTGAGACTTTACCGTGGATACTGGTATTAAGATACAATCGTGAAACTGCAGATGTTTGTTTTATATTTCAATTAAAGGAGCGCAAATAGCTGCAAACAATGTATCTTTTTTCGCTATTAGTTACCATGTTCATGTATCCACACCATGGCACGCATGTAGTACAATCTAACGTATCATCTATTGCATATATTAGTATAAGGCTACAGGTTGCATCAGTCAATCACAGAATGGAAAACCCAGGATGTTCACATTTTTAGCATGAATAAAAGGAATGTGGAATTATTATTATTTTTTTTTTTGTAATTCCCATTTAATTTGTCATCTGTTCCCTATAATCCTATCAATGAATTTTCAGTTTGCTTCACTCTTCTTACTTGTAACTTTCTTTCCTTTAAATATTCATTCCCAACTGTGTGATATTTCTTACTCAAATAATATCGTGCTAAGAATGATCAAATAATAGTGTTTTTTTTTAACTTGACAAAACACTAAGTTATGAATATAAATCAGATGATTCAGTGTTGTATGCATGAGTTGAACAAAAATCATTTTAACACTCAAACCATCATATGAATTTACAAGTAATGTAATTAAAGATTGCCTTTCTAAAGAATGGTATCTTATTAACTTTATTGCTATATATATTTTGAAATCTATACTATCAATATCTGTAAAATAAAATAAATATTTTTAAAGCAAAAAATATCAGAACATCATATTAAGTGAATGTTTATAAATTAATGATTATGAGTGTTTATGAGTATTCTTAGATTAAAAATATTAATGAATATTTATGGTTTATTTTTAGGTGGAAAGAGAAATTGCCATAATGAAACTTATAGAACACCCCCATGTTCTTGGCCTTTTTGATGTATATGAGAACAAGAAATATTTGTAAGTATGAATTCAGTTTAAAGCATGCCTCAATATTTTGCATTTCATGTGTACCAAAGAAAGTAATTAGTAACATACCGTAATTCATAAACAAGACGTGGATCAATTATTTTCTGCTTCTTCAATAAAATATTTTCGCGGGATGCGGTTGATCGGTTGCTCAAAAGATAATTTTGTATTAACTCTCTTCCTCTTGGAGCGTCACACACCAAAATGAGATTTATTCCAATTACCTTCCTGTTAATAATATTATGCAATAAGCTGTCAGTTGAGCTTGCATAATTAGATAGATGACACGAATAGTGTTATTCAGAAATGTTGTACAGTATAATATATAATATGTAACAGGTTTTGTATAACACATGGTAACACATGTATGCATAAAAATATATATAATTATTAACTAATTATTCTACCTTAGATAAATAACTATTTAACTAATTATTTTCCCTTTACCTTATAAAATAAATTGTTATGAACTAATTATTTTCCCTATTCCTGTTTCTTTTCATTTTCCTTCTCGTTTTCTGTCCATATTTCCCTTTCTCTCTTTTATAATGTGAAAATTGTACGTACTATATTATACTACTGTATCTCCAGCATAGCCTTGTATTGTAGGCTAACAACCTAGAGTTCACCCCTCCTAATTCATGTTCACAAATTAGCTGTTGAAAGCTTGTTCACCTTATCGCATACGAGTCATCAAATTAAAATTCTCTCATCCATCAGTTCTGCTGTCGTTTAAGTGGCTTGACGTTTTCATGTTGGTGCAACACCCGAAAGGGTTGCCGAAGCAAATTTCTCAAATGCAGGTGTGATCGCTAATTTCCCAAGACAATGATCAATAAAATGTTAATTTCACTAAACCTCAATTTTTTAACCTGGTGAAGTTGTGTGATATTTAATATTGTTACTCATTTTCTCATTCATTTTTATGAGCCTCCTAAATTAATTATTTGATTGATTATAAAGATAGTTAAAATTTAATATTTTTAACGTATAGTATTTATTTTTATTTATTATAATATGTAACTTGTAAGAAATAGTTATAAAAGTATGAATTTTGTTAACTGTAAAGTAGAACAACATATATTTCATATATTCTTAGGTTCTTTGCCTCAATAACTCCATGTTATACTCATCTTCACTGCATTAGATATGGTACTTAGAGGTCAAAGTAGAGGTCACATGAATTATTCATAAGCAATAAATTGATGTTAGTATGTACTGTAATGGATGCCTCTGTAATATAAGTAGAAATTTGATTATTAAGTCTTTAGGTTTGATACTGTAAGTCTAATTAATAATAATTACAGGGGTCCCAAATTGGAAAAAGCCACTTCTGGGAGGTCTGTTAATGAGCTTTCTCAACAGTAATAAAAACATGGAAATATTGTGAATTAGCTGGAGATGGGTAATTTTCCAGGATTCTTGTCTACAGCACAGTCTCGCAAGAGAACAGGAGACTCGGGACCTCTGTAATGATAACATTTAACAATAATTATTACAATAATTTATGTTAATTATTATAAATAATTATTAATAATATAATAATTTATTAGTAAATAAAATTATTTTTAATATTTATACTTTGCCTTGACTATTGATACAATAAGAATTGTAAATTGATAACTAGTGTTAAAGGTGCAAAATTTGTAAGTAAAATAAGCAATGAATACAAGAATTATATGTTTGCATTAAAATATCTAAGATCAACTATAAATTGAATAATAAACACTATAAATGTAATAATACTGTAATTAGTTATAGCACACTTCCTACACAATGTAACATTTTTGTTGTGTGTATTATTTTATTAATGCTTTTATGAATCAAGTGCTACTTCAAATGGCTGAAGTATAGAACTTCAGTTTTAATGTCTTCTAGTTTGAATGTTTATGTTTGGTTCAGGAATTGTAAGTAGTCAACTTTGTACTGGACCATGCTGTGAATATACTGTACTGTTCTACAGAACTTAACTTATTTTAGATATTTACGGTAGGTACTGTATCCCATTAATAAAATTTAAAATATTAATCTTTTCTTCTTTTTTTCTTTCGTGCAAGTGATGACTGATGAGAATAATAAAGGATAATTAATAATATTTTATTTAATGATGATTCATGATGATAATAATTTATATAAAAAATAAAAATTTTAAAAATGATCTTAACAATATATGAGCTGAGCGTTTGGCTAATTGGTATGGTTCCTGCCTCTTGCACGCCAGGGCCTGGGTTTGATACCCGGCTCTTTGTCGAGTATTGAATTCGGGTCTTTTATAACAACAAAAAAATGCTCAGCTCCTCGAAGAACCCTCTCAAGAGATTTAGGCGAGTTGAGGACCATGTTTGCATCAGTCTGGATCCGTTTGATTTCTATTTTAAGGAGGAGGCTATTATTAGCCACTAGTCAAATTGACTATGTGGCTATCTTGCCTCTCCATGTTGTATACCCAACTTTCATAAAAAAACGTTTAGTAATATTTTGAAAAATGTAGTATATAACATTAATTATATTTTATATAAGTTTGTTAATTTAATTTTGCCATTCTAATGTTTTTGATTACATTAATTAATTTTTGAATTGTACAGTATATTAAGGAATGCAAAGTCATTGCTTATATTTGTATCTTCTTTAATTGCTACATTTCCATGTTTTTATAAATATTTTTTAATTTTATAAATAGTAGACCTACAGTATAACAGGGTTCGAATTTCTTCAAAATGCTTCAGCAGCAAATGGTTGCTATGGGCTATGGCTTTACTATAGTAATTTATTCTTCTTTTGCAACAATATCAACAGCTTTTATTGTTTTTAAGGGTAATGACTATGTGGCTATCTTGCCTCTCCATGTTGTATACCCAACTTTCATAAAAAAACGTTTAGTAATATTTTGAAAAATGTAGTATATAACATTAATTATATTTTATATAAGTTTGTTAATTTAATTTTGCCATTCTAATGTTTTTGATTACATTAATTAATTTTTGAATTGTACAGTATATTAAGGAATGCAAAGTCATTGCTTATATTTGTATCTTCTTTAATTGCTACATTTCCATGTTTTTATAAATATTTTTTAATTTTATAAATAGTAGACCTACAGTATAACAGGGTTCGAATTTCTTCAAAATGCTTCAGCAGCAAATGGTTGCTATGGGCTATGGCTTTACTATAGTAATTTATTCTTCTTTTGAAAAAATATCTTACTGTCAATCCTTGGATTTACCACAGCAGTGGAAGGCCCTTTCTACAGCAATTGGTGTTGTGAAATTCGAATCTTGGTATAATAATCAAGAAAATCTAAATTGTTGATGAATAGGGTGAAGTGGAGTATCTTGGTATAGCGGCAGTTTGGCACAGCGTTTGACGTTTAGGCTTTCAATCGTAAGGTCAGAGTTTCGAGTCTCTGCTGTGCAGATTCGCTTGTGTCCTTGGGCAAGGCACTTTAGCTACATTGCTTCAGTCCACCCAGCTGTATCAATGGGTACCAGCAAACTGCTGGGGACTAACCTGCGACGGACTAGTGTCCCGTCCAGGGAGTACAACTCTTATCCGCTTCACACTACAGAAACTGGGGATAAGCTGCAGCCCTATGAGCCCCAGTGGCTCGGAAAGGATTTAGTTAGTTTTAGGAGTATCTTGGTGGTTAAAGTGCTTACCTTCCAATTCTAGGGTCCTCGGTTCAAATCATGTGACAAGGATTTTTTTCCCTCTCAAAGCCACTACATTAGCCTTGCTGTTACTGTAGGTAACAATGAAATAGAAACAAAAAAGAAACATAATAAATTTTAAATGAATTAATTAGTTAGTAAGGAAGAAGTTACATTTTATAGCATTTAAAACCTAGAAGTAATGTGCAATAGTCTGAAATTAGTTATTGTCATTTTATAAAAGCACGAAATGTTAGCATGGCTCAATAATTTAATCCCTGTTTCAGAGTTTGTAGCTGATCCCTAGATATTGAACATCGGTTGTTAGTGTACTAATAATGTATGTTTGTCTGAACTATCAAATACTATGGTTAATGCTACTGTTGTAATGTTTAGCATTATGTATGTAAGTGACATGGCCTACATAGACGTGTGGAATGATGTATCGAGCCATGATTAATAATTGGTTTACATGATGTACTTAATGCATTGTGCGGTGTTTGAATGTACTGTGATTCCCAACAGCTCTACCATTGGTAATGATTAAATTATGATAATGATGATAAGGATGAAAACCACAATGATAATGGTAAAAAGATGATGCTAAAAAGTGCAATAACAGTGTGGTAGTAATATACTATGTATTAGTCTTATGATTCCACTTCGTATTCCACATACCAGCAGACACAGTAGTATGGAACATTCTCAGTTTTATGAAGGTTTATAATGTTAAGGATAATGGAGAGAATAGTAATTCGGATATTAATAATAACAACTAAATTTGAAGTAAAAATAAACACAAACATTAGACAGAATTATATTTTTAAGTAAATTTCAGATTATGAATGATTGACGATCAACACAGTGGCTGCAGGGAGTGACAATAAGGATGATAATGACAGTGGTAGTGATGATGGTGATGATAATGATGATAATCCAGTGATGAAAAGAATTGTAATAAAACAATTATTGTTTAACACTTCTATGTAAAATTTGTATTAGAAGAGCAAGAAATAATAAAATAATATGGCAAAACTACTCCTAATAATGATAAAGGTGGTGCTTAGGAGGGTACAGTGATGATGATAATGAGGATGATGATGATAATGATAGAGAAAGAACATCCCTTGAACATGTAATAGGATGGTCTGATGTTTATGAATGAATGAAATAATAGCTTTCACTAATCATTATCTGAAAGTACCAATTTCATAAATATTAGAGTAACAAAACACTAATCTTCATAATTATTAAGAGATTGAGTTGCAATACTAAATGTATTCATTGGTGTAATGTTAATAACAACTCATGCATGATCGCTATATTGTTGCCATAGTGATCATTTATTAGTGAATCACGACACTAGCATGGTAATGAAGTTTGTGGTGGAACTGGATTGAAGAATGAGAGATTAATATTCATCTACAGTATTCATTCATCTATTCCACCATCAATTTACATTCATCCATATATTCATCCTTTTGTTCATTTTTTCCTTTGTACATCAGCTTCAATCATTTCTCCATTTATCCATCTGTTCAGTCTCTCATATTATCCATCATTTAATCATTCATTCATTCATTTTACTTATTTATTCTCTTATTCATACATTTATTTAACCCATGCAGTGTCATTGTGCCTATTTGCATGGGCGTGGTCCATTCCTATTGGGCTCAAACGTACCACCAAAGCATATAGGTAACAATGCTTTTCTTCTGTAAGATTCAGTAAATTTCTTTAAGATACACATGACCCTGATGTGTAAAAGTGTCTCTGGTTTTAAGACCGTATCCAAGAAGACTTGATTCTACCAAACAAACCATTCACTTTCAACAATAAATGTTCATAAGGGACTTAGGGAATAGAATATTTTATGTAAGCTTACAAAACCGTAAAGATTTTTTTAGGAAAATTCCTGGTTTAAACAGGATTTAAACCCAGAACATTGGAATTGGAGAGTTTCCCACGGGAAACAAGTCTTCAGAGTAGTGGGTTATCCTTGGTGTGATTCACACCAAAAAAAATACCCTTATTTTATCCTGTCCTTAACATCATGTCTAACATGTAACTTCATTCAGCAGAATTCCAATGATTGGTGCATGACCATTCTTCAGATTTTTCAAAGTAAATGATGAATGATTTGTAGAAATAGTGAATGACAATGATAATAAGATGAGACAAAACGGCAATCTAGGTGATGAGTGATGACATTGAGGAGACAACAGGTGATTAGGATGAGTCACTGCAATCCTATTACCATGTATGTTAATGCTGCTTGAATATCATGATTGATAAAGCTATAGTGTCATATAGTGGCACATGTACCTAGCTTTGCAGTTTGTTAGTAGAGGGAGGTAATGAAGTAGAAAGGAGTAATAAATTGGGAAGGGGATAATGAAGTGGGTAAAGGAGGTTGAAGGGCAAGGATGCTCATCTATATTTTCAGTGGTTGCTGCTCAAGTTTTTAACATCATGCTGTCAAATTCCGTCCAGGCTCATACTGTACGTGTAGATACCTCAGCTTGCATTGTGGATGGGCTATAAAAAAATGTTTCACGCTATATGCCAGCCATGCGATTGGCTACGGTCCTTGGCTTTGTTTTGGACATTCAACATCAGACCCATCCTTTATTGGGCCTTGCTATAGGGTTAAGCTTTTGCCGTGCATCCGCTAATAAAAAAAAAAGATCATTTGATTTTGGAGAAAAAAAAGTGAAACTAAGGTCATGTGATTGTTGAAGAAAGTGTCTATGTGGCATCTAGGTCAGCATTCTATATATGCATTGATAACGTGGAAAGAGCATACTATGATACTTATGAAGATTCTTAGGATTAAATTGTGTGAAGTTGCCTTAAAATAGCTTAATACAAAGAGCATAGCTTCACAGGCACAACCCTTAGCGCAGGACAAGTATACTTCTTTATAAGAACACATTTTATAAAAACACTGAGTCTAAAATTACTTTAAAAATAAGAACATGTTGAGGCTGAGGTAAAATGTCAAATGAGGATTTTATTTAAAAAAAAAAAAGAAAAATCAACAAAAGTTTTCTGTACCTTACGTGTAGTAGGTGTGACTATATAAATAATACCTTTAACATAGTAAAGTAATATACAGTAGGATTGTACAATAATTTTCCTATCTTCGAAAGGTATGTGAAATAAAAATATTTTGAGCCTGAATTTGGCAAAAAAAAGAAGAAAAAGAACACTGAATCAGTAAAAAATGTTCCTGCTTCATATATAAAAACATAAAAAAGAAGTGTACTACTGAACATTTGATCATTGCCAAACAGAATGGTTATGATCCCATGTCTCAGGCTATAAAACACCAAGCTGCCTCCATCCAGCTGTACAACAGTAGGCCTTTTATAGGGGACAGTATGGTACATTCCTACCCCAGGTGCAAAGCTTCATATCTAACTGGTGCTAATGGGAAAAAATTATTTGTCTGCAGTTAAGCCTGAACAGTCAGGACATAGAAAAACAGAGTCAACAATGAAATTTATATTTATAATAAAATCCTTATTCAGAGGTAGCGATATAACTATTTCCATTGACTGCCATAAGTTCAAGAGAACATTATTATCCATTACAAATTAATACAAATTCATATGAAATTATAAAGACAAAAGATAAAAGTTGGAATTCACAAATATAATTATAATCACCTTCCACTAAATAACAAATGTTTAAGAAATATATGGTAATTTACAAAATACAAAAAAGTACCGGGTACATGAAATATCTGATGAAATATTGAATTACCAATGACAATGTTTAAACCTTCAGTTGATTTATTGTATCGTATTTGTAATAACATATCTAGTTTGATTATTATGTACTAAAGTTGATGACTTAGATCATCCTTTCAATCTTATTGCAAGGTGATATAATTCACTGAACCATGACACAGCTGTACACCGGAATAATTAATACTTAACCTAATTATGAACTATCGCTCTTCACATTACCTTTTGCAAGCTCCTAGTCAACTTGGAGGTAAAGCATCTATAAACTAGAATGGTCATTATAGTGCCTACATTTCCATATCCTTGATTGCCAAATAGTTAAAAAGAAATTGACTTTCTGTGACCGTGTACTATGATCTTTCACCCCAAAATTAGCAAGTTATAATTGATAATTTTATGATTTCAATTCTGTTTTGTTTTTTAGAATTGTTTAATGACTCCAGGCCAAAAACAATAACGCCCGTATTCTTAAAACAAACTTTAGTCGAACTTCGAACTAGAACTTCATTTAGTGCTAGTTGCATCTTTAACTTCAATTTGTATTCACAAACAATGTAGTCAAAGTTTTAACTACGACTAAATCAAGTCCTAGTTTTAGTTTAACTGAAGACGACTGGCAAGCCACGACTATCAAACTAACCAATGAAAAGGGCTATCTTTAATAGCAGGCGAAATTTTAGAGATCCGGTAACGCGGATGAATATTAGGCTGCCGTTTGTGTTTCAAAAACGTATTTCCTCATAATTCATAATAGACGATCATTCCATTAATTAATTTTCTAAAATAATAACTATATTAGTTGTTAACATATTACAATAGAGAATTTGCTTTCTTTGGAGAACTATTATAGTTGAGCCCGAGCGAGGGCGGCGCCATCTTTGTTGTTGTTATTGTGAAGCTATGTGATAGCAACGCGAGGGGATTTCGTGCAAATCAGGAACTATCGCATGTGGCTAGCAAAACATGTTAATTTCTCCTTCTAGAAGCTAAACTTGATGTCTCTTTTGTTTAACACACCGAAGATATATCAATATCAGTATCAAACCTGCATATACAATCGTTTTTATTCGTTTCATTTTATCGTGAGTTACAAAAAACACGTTTTTAGTGGGGTAAATATTTCAAGTCGGCGATTTAGCCTGACCTTAGGCTGACTAAAAAAATCGGCCTGCGGAGGTATCATTTTAGTCGAGGTTCACGTCATTTAGTCGTAGTGCTAGTCGAAGTTCGTTTTAAGAATACAGAATGATGTAATTTTAAAGTTTTAGCTCGAACTACGACTAAAGTTCGTTTTAAGAATACCGGGGTAAGGTTACCTGTCTTGGAAGAAGCAATAGAAATGGCTTTCAAACACAGCCATCTTAAAAATTGATTGTACTTAAAGTAATTGTGTGGATACCAGATCTATGTCGAGTGTACTTGTCACTGGCAAATTATCTGTCAAGTACTCACAGTTTTAATGTAAATCACCAGTACTAATCCTTCACAATATTAAATTTAGCTCTATAATAATAATTGGTCAATTAATGATTTAAAACAAATACTGGTCTTCCTCCATTTAAAGACTACTTTTGGGACCGGGGTTTTCATTGTCTTTAGCAGCTTTGGTCTCTCATTAAAATAATAAAATTAAAAAACATTTGTTTATTTGGGACCACTGAAAAGTAGTCTTTAATTGGAGGTGGTCTTTAATTGGAGGGGTCCTAATTAGAGGGAGACCTATAGTTCCAATTATTAAGGAATGAGAAATGCAATTATAAACAATAATATATCGAGTAAAATATTACAGATAAAAAGACACTTAACTTCATAAGACACAGTAAAAATGTTTATGTACTTAAAATACCATACTGTAGATGTTTATAGTTTTACTCAATAAAATATTCCACAGTATTTTTCTTAATGCAATAAAATGCCATGAAATAATATGCAGTAAATTACTGTGTTTCATTTTGATTGACAATATATATTATGAGATATTCAAGAAAATTGATGGGTTGGGAATTGGCTGTCAAGCAGTTGTTGGTGAACCTCTAAGATTATGTACATGTAGACATGAAGTCTGAAGTATTGACCTGTTTTGCAGGTAAAATTATTGTAAAGTATTTGAAATTCTGTGCTACTGTATACTTGTTAAGGTAGCACTAGTAAGGCATTTATCATGAGAAGCAAAAAATGTTTTTAGCCGATGAGAAGGTCTGTGGAGTAATTAAGTGAGTATAGAGAAATGGAGAAAGTATGAGTGTGTTAATGGTTGTTGCTGTTTCAATGGTTGGTTTTTGTTGTTGACCAAGCAACAGGAATCTTCAAATGTTGGCGGTTGAAAAAGAAGATGGACAATTCCATCTTTCTTCTGGTATGTTATTGCCTATAGATTCCACAACGCATAACCAAGACTTCATTTTCGTTCCCTACATATTTTCGCATATGGTTTGTATGCTTGTGTCAGATAAGTTCCCCAGTTTGGATAAACTATAAACTACAAAGTTATGACAAATTTCAGCATATTTTTGTTGTACTAGCTTTTTTCTTATCTTTGTTTATTGAAATATATTTCTCTTTTCTCAGGTACCTAGTTTTAGAGCATGTATCTGGAGGGGAATTATTTGATTACCTTGTGAAAAAAGGGCGCCTCACACCAAAAGAAGCTCGCAAATTTTTCCGTCAAATTATTTCTGCCATAGATTTTTGTCATAGCCATTCTATATGGTGAGTATAAATTATTTTTTGCTGTTGAATATTAAATCTCATACAAAGAAAATTAAAAGGCAGCACTCTGAGACTAACTTAGATGTTATTTATTTAACACAAGCTTTTGCTCAGGTGAAGCCTGATGGTAAATAGCCTGAAGGTAAATATTGAAATAAATTGCATTGAGGGACCATTTAGATTGATTAGGTAAAATGTTAAAATAGATGAAACATGTCTGTAAAAGTCCTGAGCAATAGTTAAAAATATACTGTGTGTTGGAATGTCTTCAGGTGAGTTATTGAATGGAAAAGAAACAAAATAGTTTCTAAATTATGAACTACTAAATGATTATGATCTAAATATACACATTAATCGTCATAGCATGTAATATACAGGTACATAGGTTTGGTTAATGTACTGTAGGTGCCCATTTCATCATAATAATTTCATCATAAATTCCATCCAAAACCTCAATTTCAGTCCATATATATTGATGACATTCCCATTAACCCAGTTTCATCTGTTCGAAGGCGTTGTACTTGATGAAAGTCTTACGTTTGTTCCACATATATCTGCGCTCTGTAAATCTTCTTTCTTTTTTATACGTAATCTTTGGAGAATACGAAGTTTCTTTCACATAAATCAGTCGAAGTTTTAGTCCATGCCTTCATTTCATCTAAGTTAGATTATTGCAACTCACTTTTTATTGCACTACCCGATACCAAAATTCTGCGTTTACAAAAAATCCAAAATTCTGCTGCTCGTATTGTTTCACTGATCCCAAGACGTCAACACATAACACCAGCCCTAAGTGTCTTAATTGGCTTCCCATTAAACAACGTTGTATTTTCAAATTGCTTCTTTTGGTATATAAGTTACTTGCGTTTCACAAACCATTATATTTGTTGCATCACTTAAAATTTCATGTACTTATCCGCCATCTTCGTTCATCTTCAAAAAATCTTTTGACAGTTCCATCTCCTCGAAACAAAACCAAAACATATGGTCAACGTGCTTTTTCTGTTCAAGCTCCTTCTCTGTTCAATTCTCTTCCTTTTTCTTTTCGTAATTCGCCTAATTTATATTCTTTTAAGAAGAACTTAAAGTTTCACCTTTTTGAGAAATGTTACTGAGTTTGTTTTCTCCTGCGCCTTTGATAAATTTTTGAATTGGCGCTATATAAATGTTTATTATTATTATTATTATTATTATAAGAAGGGTTTAATAATTTAGGATGCTTACATTTACAACCAACATAGATGGATGATTATGGGCACAAAGTTAATTATTATCAAGCTTGAATCTCGGGTCGGGTGTTGTTGATGTTGATTCTCTCGAGTCCCTCCTTAACTGCTAATCAGACTTCTTATTGTTGTCAGTGGTTCTCTCAAGTCACTCCTCAACTTGTAATCAGACGTCATATACATACTCTATTGTTGTGAATGTTAATTTCCTCAAGTCACTTCTCATGTTCTCAACTGATGATACTCTACTTAAGAGACAGCATTCAACACTTACTGTATATGACGCAAATTTTCGGTCCGTCTGGACTCTCTTCAGGCGTAGTCCGATCGTCGTCTGAACCAATCGGTTCGTCTCCGTTTCCGCATAATATGTTACGTAACGCTATACGATATAGTGGTTATTCATGAGTATGGTAAATAACTCGCATCATACCACTGTTCCTTTATATTATATATATGATAGAATTCTATAAAAGGTATAGACGAAAAACGTCAACAAATAAAAAAAAATGCCCCAAAGGAGATTGTGAAAAAATGTTCGTAAAACTTAAGAAATTAAAGAGATTTAGCAGAAAACAAAATGTTTCAAATTTAATTTCCAAATGAGCAATTCATAAAATGTTTTCAGGGTTTGTAGATGATGCATCTTTAATAAATTAAGAAATTGATTTAAAATATTAATTAATTCCCAAATCATGTTTCCTGAGCAGTCCTATAACTTAGTATGCTACCTCTTGGGGTACCAGACACGTATTGAACACACTATACCGAACAAACCTTGATATAAATTTTAAAAAAACAAAAAAAAAACTTATGAACAATATTTGTTAACTAGTACAAAATCAAGCTTCATGGTGCATCTGACAAGTGATCTAATTTGACAACTAATCATTCTACAAAGCATTCAAGACACTATTGATTTGATGCAGAGTTTTTTTATAGAATAAACTGTTACAATAATAAGGTGGTCTACTTCGTGAATGCTTACCGGTACCTAGATAAACCTACTGATTGCCTAAGCCTAGTCCCAAGAAGGACAACCACAAGCTTTGTCCATTGTGCAAGGTGTGCTGTCAGTGCACACCCTGCGAGGTATGTGTGCGATGGCTGCCTTCTTGATTTGTGGCCATCAGGCTTAGGCAGGTGGTTTATTCAGGTATTACATTTAGTTTTACATAAAGTTTCTCGGTAATTGAATGGAAAACGTATATATTTCTGTTCGTAATATATCAACGCAAAATATAACGAGTCTATAAAATCGTGTTTTTAGTTTTAAATTCCTTTTTGAAATAAAACGAAATCCAAACAGGTTAAACATGTTAAACGCGTTGTTTGAAAAAATCAGTGAAGCATCAATGAGAGGCGGAGCTATTTTCGAACTATGCATACTAGCGTTGTCAAACGCCAGGAAACTTTACAAAACAACGTCGCTTGTAGAGAACAATAGAAAACGCGTCCAACGCGTGATTGTCGTTTTCAATAATTTGGACATGACGCCTAAGTATCTCGTTCACAGAATGCCAATATCACTACTGATTTGTGTCACTATATACAGGTAATAATGTAATGTTATTGAAAATAATAAATATTTTTTAGTGTGTAAAATACCACTATTATGCTAACATCCTCTAACCTGGGCATTAGTATAGCAAATAAAAATATTGCATGATGAAATTTTAATACATCATACATACAGTAGATCAGAAAAAAATATTTATAAAATATATTAGATTGTGATGTTAAGTCAAACCAAAATAAAACATTAATTGAAAGTATAACTATCAACATCAAATGTCTCATTTCATTTCGTTTATTTATTTAACCAAAAGACAACAAAACTGAAAGTAGGTCAGAGTAGCTTACGTAATTATATCGCTCAAACCTCAAATAAGTCAGCTGCTTCCAAAATGCATGTACGCAGATAAACAAGCCGTATTTATTTAATTTGATTACAAACTAACGTAATCTAAATTATTAATAATGGTAGAAAGTGGAATTAAATAGCTTGGTGGTTAAGGTGCCTGCCTTGGAACCCCAGGCTCCTAGGTTCGCTTCCTGTGACAGCAGGACTTTTTCTCATGATTAAAACAAATTTTAAGCCTCATTAGATTTTTATAAAGCATTGGTGGGCCCTGTGGGAGACCAGGAAGAAGATGTGTACTGAACATGCTACCAGTATAAAGAAGGGGAAAATGTACAGTAGCACTTATATTATTGTTCTTGTTTAACATGAGCCCCTTCTCGCATGGACATGGACATCTACATGGAATCACGTCAGCCAACGCAGAGTGGCTTAAGGGACTCATACAAATATACGGCATATCGAAAATGGGAAGCAAATATGATTTAAACATAGCATAATGTATAAACATTATTAAAAGTATACAGATATAATAATTATAATAATAATTGGAAGAATAATATACTCAAGAAAGATAATAGTCGGTGATATCCCACATGAATAAAAACTTTACAGTAAACATTGTTGCACTATAATTAAACTACAAATAACAACCATAATGATGTTGATAGTTTTCATGATGAGAATATTTTGTATGATATGGATAATGTTATGATATACTGTAGCATAGTCTAAAAGCACTTCACAGATTATAACTTGGTTATTTGGGTCAATAACCATATTATGTCCTCATGTCAATAATTTCATTGAAAAGCTTGAAAACAATCAAACAATAGGCATTTTACATGATATGACATGCTCATAGAATGACACAAGAATGATAATCATATGTAAGACTGGTATTATGTAACATAAGATAATGATGCTCTTGGTAATATCACTTCACCTGTCATCGACAATACACTTACGATAGCTTCACTTATCTTGTTAAATGTCATCAAAAAAACTTTTATTGTTCAACTTACAAAATATGCATAAAATTTAAAATGTATCGTTTGATAAAATAATTACAAAATAATACAATTATAAAAAAAAAATGAAAATTACAATCATTGCATTATTAGTTTTCAATTAATTTTAACAAGAACCATGATACCATTTTTAGTGTCAGCACTTTTGTTGCAATATGAATAAATTGTAGTGTAATCATGATTTAACATTTTAATTGATAATTTATATTAACTCCTTTAACTCTTTTCCTCTCATAGCCATAGGGATTTGAAGCCAGAGAACCTTCTATTAGATGAGAAAAACAACATTCGTGTTGCTGATTTTGGAATGGCGTCACTGCAGGTTGCGGGAACGTACTTAGAAACAAGTTGCGGCTCTCCCCACTATGCATGCCCAGAAGTCATTCGTGTAAGTTGCACAACCTGCATTGGATCATTGTATTATTTTGTTAATATTACTGTATGTATTTTTATTAATATTTTCATCTGTTATTGGAATAAACACAATCGGCGTAAAGTGGTCATAGAAGTGCAATCAGAGTAAAAATACAGGAAGGCAAAATAAATATAAATAATTTTATAAATAAATGGCAGGGAAAGGCAGTGTTATCCATTCTGGTGTTTTGTTTGCATATTAGGCTCTGGAATTCACATAGCATTTCACAAGCCTATTGGAAGTCTAGATAATAGTCCGCGTTCCTCTTTCATGTGGAATCTAGTGCCTATTATGGCCGCAGAAACTTAATATTTAAGAAAAGTGTGGTAACTTTTAGAGCATTAGCAAGTAGCCACTGACAATTTTCAATTTATAATGAACACTATTTTTTTAAATAAACTGTATTTTGAAAAGTTTATGAGCATAAAGGCTATATGGACTATACTATAAACAAAAATAATAATAGTTACGTGGAAGGTGAACTTAATAGTTGTTGCTGTTGTGTTTTTCTACATAACACACACTCTGCAATATTGGAGATACTACTTGGTTGGATGTACAATTTAAATTAGGAATCACAATAGTATTACCAGAGCGGGAAGTAAACCAACCACATGTGATAATGCATTGATTATTTTCTGTTATGGAGTCATATTTGTATTATGATCATGTAGTCTTGAGGGTGATTTTAAATAATAATTAATAAATGTTCCAATATTTTCACAAGCTCAATCTGCTGACGTCAGCATGATCCTTGGAGAGTAGAGGGAGGACAGTTTTTACTCCAAGGCAAACGTCTTATCTGCACACTTCAAAAGATACTGCAATTTCATCTATGAATTCCTTGCTCATCTGGATATATTGGTATCATGTTTGTCTGAATTAAAGACAAGTTATCTTTGGCATTTATGATGTTTTCAAGGAAATGTGGATTATATATGAAGTCATACTGTAAGCAACAATCTATATAAACAAAAACATGTTTTTTTTTTATTTTGAAAACTAAAACAATTTAATGCAATTTAAATATTGAATTTTAAAGTTCTTGATGGAGAATATGATCCTGTTGAAAAATTGATTTTTGCTTAATCAGAGTTAACAAAATATATTTGGAAATTTTTATAACATTTTAAAATTCCATTTCAATGTTATCTGTGATACCAACCAGGCTCAATCATGATGCTGGTTTATGCATCAATTGCCTTTCCCAGATGACCTTGGTTGCTGGAAATTGCATGTTATCACTGACAGAATTCTCCAAATAGGCATTTGCCAGCTGCTTCCTTCAAATGGTTGTCATAAATGTGGGGAGGCTGGGAGCCCCTTTATATTTGGTTCATATTTGTTTGATTTTTTATATATTCTGGTATTTTTGGTTTGTTCCATGATCGTTCACTAGTTGGCATCTGAAAATGATTCCAAACTGTGATTGGTTAAGTTGTGACTTGTGATCGATAACTGAAGAAAAGTGGTTAACTTTGGAGGCAGAGTTTCTTGCAAGGATTATCTCAGTTTCTTTCAGGGTTATAGTTTCTTTGCAAGATTATCTCACAGTTTCTTCAAAGATTATCTCATAGTTTCTTGCAGGATTATCTCTTATTTTCTTGCAGGATTATCTCATAGTTTCTTGCAGGATTATCTTAGTTTCTTGTAGGATTATCTCATAGTTTCTTGCAGGATTATATCATAGTTGCTTGCAGAATTATCTCAATTTCTTGCAGGATTATCTCACAGTTTCTTGCAGGATTGTCTCAGTTTCTTGCAGGATTATGTTTTTTGCAATATTATCTCATAGTTGCAGACAACAAAAAGTGATTGTTTACGATTATTTCATCAAGCTTTGGTAAACAAATTAGACTGAGGTTGTGACAGCATTTTATTCTTCAGAAGAGATAGAGACCAGTTTGAGACATCATCACCAAGATTTTACATTCAAACAATCAAGATTTCATAAAATTAGGGTTTATAATTAAGGTTTTCTACTGTATATTATACTGGGTGAATTTATAATTAGATAGTTGTAAGTTCTAGGTTCATGCTCTTTCTTCATCTTGAATTTTAAAAATTCAATTGATTTTATGGAGAAGCCTGATTTCAAATTTCTAATCTAAAAACATATATGACATGTGAACAAATTGCGACTTGTGGTTGTATTACCATCGTTGAATAAATGTCATTTGAATTTGAATCTTTGTTATGTTGTTAATTTAGCTTAGCAGGACTTACAATAGGCTATATTACAACAACCTAAAACAATTTGAGTGACATAATATCATCTTACTCAAGCATTATTAAGGACGTGTAGACCGACATCTATAAGTAGCATACAGCGGCCAGTGTAGCCTCAGTAATTGAATTATGCATGAAATGAAGACAGCAGTACGTTTTTAACATGTGAACGTATGTGTTGCAAAACAATTTAAGAATTATGAAACAAGTGTCTACTTAACTTCAAACACAATTTCAGAGGTAGATTTACTGTAGTTGCACTGACCTACTGAGTGGGTGTTAGTAAACTAAAGTTTACTATTTTTTTTCTCTTTTAAAGCTTATCAAAGCTAGTTATTACTATTGTTGTCATTATTGTAAATTTTGGATAGTTTGTAATTTATAAAGCTTTCAAATGTACTTGTTTTGTTAATATATATATTTTTCTTATTTTAATATGAAGGCATGAAAACTACAAGGACAAATATTTATTATAGTTAAAAAAAATCAAATTAAGGCTGTGTTAGAGTTGATGAAAGTTTTGCAATCAAGGGGATCATCTTATCTTCATACACAATAAGAAACCATAGAGCAAAAATTAAATTTTAATGAAAAGTAACATGGCTAAATGCCACTGATATGGAAGTGTATATCCAAATAAATTATTATATAATTGTCTCTTTCCATTCTCTAATTAATTAAATTTTAATAAATGAATTATTTATTTTAGCATGTAATATTTAATGAATATACATGGATCTCGGAATGTGTATGGTATATTTTCAGTGATATGTTTCTTCGAAAAATCTGTTAAGTTATGAATAAATTTAGAAGATATTTTTTCATCTAGCTGGATTATGGATAGGTAACAAATGAAATCAATAAATAAAGTGCTTATTTTTTATATCCATTAACAAGGTTGCTTTGAACGTGGGCACAAGTCTTAAGGTTGTCAGCTAGGGTTACTTTATCCTGAAGTAGTTGATTATTGATTATGAACATTTGTTGTGTACATTTGTGGCTTAAATGCTGTCAATTACAGCAAGTCGTTAAGGCCTTTCTAACAATTACCATCTGACATAAGGCCTTTTCATCAGTATTTTTAAGTACTCGGATGGTTTTAATGTACCTATTTTTGCACAAAATTACCAGTTTTGATAATGCAATTACAATTGGTTAATTAACAAATTCATGCAATTGATATAAATATTAGATTTGCCATTAATTTATTTTTTAGATTGATGGTTTATAATTCTTAAAAATAGGTAATGAATCAAAATAGATAAATTTTCATCAAATTTCATATTGTAGGCACAAATGTTGAAATACTGATGTTTTAGTCAGAATATAATAATAATAATAATAATGTTATGTTTATATAGCGCATATTGCACATTGCCCCTATGCGATTTACAGAGAAATAATATAGGCCAACTGAGAAAAAGCAAATAACAATAAAATAATAACAATAAAATAAAATAAAAATAATCATAATAACAATAGTTTTCATCTGAAGGACACAACCTAAATAAATGCACAGAAAATTTTTAAATGGCCACCTCATGATTGAGAGCCTAAACCATAACCATTTCAACAGTAGAAAGTTTTCGATTGGGAACGATTCACTCATCCGTGGCTGTCGTCATGTGCATGTTATGTGCTAAACTTTAAATAAGTTTTTCATTTTTCTGACACGAATGCAAAGGTTGAGGCACCAGTGTTTAATAATAGTCCTCAGATTTCAGGATAAAACGTAACACACAACATTTATATGCAGTTAAACTAACATGAGGTCAAACTAACATGAGGTCAAACTAACATGAGGTCATTACGTTCTGTTGTCGTAATTTGTAAGCTCCCTATTAATCCCTCATAATATTTGATTCATGATGGCTCCTTAATATCTTTTAGGCTAAGCAAGACAGACATGGTTCGAATATATGTCTGACAAATCCCTCTGCATCGTTTAAAAATATAAATATCCTGAGTTATTTTTCTATAGTACTATAGTAATTGACTACAAGTCATCCATATTTACTAAACCTGTTGACTGGTAGAATGACAGTCAGCATTGCCTTGATTCATGGGTTTAAATCAAGATAATACCAGGATGTTTATATTAGTATGTTTCTTAAGCATTGTAATAATACTCTGTTTATAAGCCAACTAATAGGCCTAAATTACATGCTGTAATTGATCTTACCTGCATTTGATTTATAACTTGATTTTGAACAAGAAATAGATGGATCACCCTTGTTGTTTTTCTTTTTGTTTTGAGATAAAATAATTTTTGAGAATTGCTTTAAATAAAGAATAAACATTGAAAAAATATGTGTTAAACCTTGAACACCTGGACAAGTTTCCACCTGTAAACCCGAGAACATGCACTTTGTCAGTTCGAGTAGCTGGTGATAAAAGTTGAATCTGTCATCCTTTTCATCTGGTTATCATATACATATAAGGTGGAATATTCCATTAATTTCATATCAAATATTAATTAGTAGGTTAGTGAAGCCAGAATTCCAAACTGGGGTAGCATATTCCAGTAGCGAACGTACATAACCTTTATATATTGTGATAAATTCTGGTCTTGATAGGTTGAATTTCTTTAATAGTTTTAACATAAATAATTTACCGTTAACTCTATAAACAATGTTAGTAACATGTGAATCCCACTTAAGCTTATTGTCAATTAGGACACCAAGAACTTTAATAACTTCAACTTCCATTAGTGGTTGTGATAGTAAGTTTAATTGGGGTTTTGGTGGTTCCTTCATAAAACTGACAAACATATGTTTGAATTTGTTAGCATTAGGTCGCATACCATTCTGGTCAGACCAAAATTCAAGCTCTAAGAGTTTGATTTGCATAATTGGTAGGGGACGTTTACCATTGCCGTTGACAACTATGTTAAGTCATCAACATGTTTGAGTACTAAAGTTGGTAACATGTCAGTAGCAGGCCTATTAGGAGTATAAAAAGCATCATTAATGTGCAATAAATAATAGTGGTCCAAGTTTGGTTACTGCCCAGTTGCAACTCTTCTGATGTCCAATTATCTCAGCAACCAAAGTAAGGCCAAAAAAAAAAATTTTTGTTTGCCTCCTCCACCTGCCTCTAACTCACTGAAAAAATTAGGGGCGAAAAACAAAAAAGCTTAAAAAAGGAGAATTTTTTTAGCTTTTTTCTTTACAAATTAAAAAAATTTAAGTGAATTTATCTTTATTTTTTGCCAGATGCCCTACAAATTATGATGTAAGATATTGCCATTCTAGGCCTCTGTGGGTTATTTTTATTCTGTCTGATGAGTATTTTTAAAAAATAAAAAAATTTAAAAAAAAAACTTTTTCCACCCACCCCTATTTA